GGCTAAGCAAGCTGCTCGGGTTTGCTCTCGGGAGCTTTTGTTCCCTGCAAGCTCTCGGTACAGCTTTGGAGGACGAGGGTGAAAATGGTGGCCTCCCAATCTCTGCCTGGAGGAGCCGAGAACTTGGGGCCCTGCTCCTCAGTGCACCCCCAGAGAAAAGCAGTCACTCCGGTGTCCCCGGTCTCTGGCCGCACTCCGTGCTCACCTGGCCTGTGACCGAGGGTTTCTATCTCTGGCACCCGACCCCGTGTGGAGTCTCCAAACCCAGCAGATCCCTGCGGTGCGCTCCCGCGCCGCTCCTCCCGGGGGGAGGAAGGGGAGTCTCCCCGGATCTGCCACTTGTTGGGTCCCTGCTGGAGGAGCAGTGGCCCGACTGGGCCGCGGGTCACAGTTTATGGCCACCCCGAGCTGAGAGCCCGCGCCTCGGCTCCGTCTCTGCAGCTGGCTTCCCTGCTCCGATACCTGGGAGCTCTGCCGCACTCAGGCACCCCCCGTCTTTCTGTGACCCCGAGGGTCCTGAGACCACACTGTCCCGCGAGGGTTCCACCCCCCGCTTAGCCACTGGAGCGACGTCCCTCTGCGGAGCCGGCTTCTAAAAGGTCCGATTTTGTGCTCCGTGGCTCTATCACTTGCCAGAAGCGGCCGAGGGAGGCCCCCTCCCCCGCCGTCTATCCTCCCGAATATCGCCTCGGGTTCACTTCTCGCACGTCCTACCTTCCAGAAAGTGGTCGCTTCTCTGTTCAGAGAGTTGTTGCTATTCTTCTCTTCGGTCTCCTGTGCAGTTCGTAGGTGTTCAGAATGGTTTGATCCCTATCCAGCTGAATTCCTGAGACAAGACGAAATCCAGGTCTCCTACTCCTCCGCCATCTTGCTCTCAAATAAATAAAATCTTTAAAATAAAAAGAAGAAACTACTGACATTATGGGTACCCATCTATAGGTACAGATGGAGAGGAGCATCCTAGGGGAGTAGGGGCAGCAATCACCGACCTCACCTATCCTGTGCCTGGGGTTTCCTTGCTGAATTGCCCTGGCTGTAGCTCATCTTCCTCCCACAAATTGACTCCATTTGTTTTCCACTTTGATAGTCAAAGTGATCTCCAAACACAAATTTGATCACGTCAATGCTCTGCCTAAAATCTAGGTGTAGCTGTCCATCACCCAGAGGATAAAATCCAAACTTCTTTACCCAGCATGTCAGGCTCTCATTCAGTCATGCTGATTCCTCCTCAAAAGCCTTTATTTATTTATTTATTTATTTATTTATTTAGCCTTTTATATCCAAACTGCTTATTTCTAACCACCATCCCTCTGTATTCCCTGTTACAACATACTCAACCGCTTGCAGTTCCCTGAATATAAGACCCCTCACACCACTGACTTTGCACATGCTATTCCCTCTGCCTGAAAGACTCTTTCCTCAATTTTTATTCCTCCTTTAGAATTTTGCTCTTGAAAAAAGAAAAAGGAAAAAAGCTTTGTCTGACCAGTCTCAACACCTCCACCCTCATCTCAGATGAATTATGAGACTCTCCTCTGTGTTCATGTAATACCCCATCTGTCCCTCAGTCACAACACTTGTCATTCTGCTCTGTAACTGCTCTGTAACGCCTGAGCCACTCAGGCGCCCCTCTATGTTTGACTTTTAAAGTACCTGCAAAGAAACTACTGACAGGGGGTGCCTGGGTGGCTTAGTGGGTTAAGCGTCTGCCTTCGGCTCAGGTCATGATCCCAGGGTCCTGCTATCGAGCTCCGCATCGGGCTCCCCACTCTGCGGGAGGCCTGCTTCTCCCTCTCCCACTCCCACTCCTTGTGTTCCCTCTCTCACTGTATCTCTCTCTGTCAAATAAATAAATAAATAAATCTTAAAAAAAAAGTCAAATATAGATACAGGTTCTAACGTTAAGCTGCTTTCAAAGGAGTGAGAGATGTGTACTCAGTCAGATAAAGAATAGAGCATAATGACAATGCAGTCATGCTATTAAAGTTATCAAAAGGGCAGTGGGAAGGCATGGCCACCACCACATTGTTTTCCAGAGCTGTTCTTAAAACCACCCTAATTATACTGGCTAGATAAGAACAAATCTTTTCTACTTAGTTCAGCCAAGACTGACTAATTTTTTCAGTAGGAACTAACAACAGGAACAAGAAGAGAAAAAAAATACAAAAGAATTTTTTTCACAGACAGACATTTTCAGCAAAGGATAGCCAGAGCCTAACCAGAGAATTCCCACTGGATACCAGATGCCGAGGTCTAAACTTCCTTGGACAACAGATCCAGTTCCTCAGGCCCCTAATTGACTCCCTAAGGATATGGCCTGACTTAGTTTTCACTCCCTTTCAGGAAAACTTGGGTGGTGCCATATGTAAACTGACAGGTCCCGATTGGGGGGTGGGGGGAGGCTTCCTTCTCTTTCTGCTCTCTAGGCTCCTCTCCTGAACTTTAGCTTGGCCTGAGCTTACTGGCAGCCACCTCCTTTGCTCTACCTACAGATCACTATAATTTTGAAACCCTGGAACTTCTCCTGAAATTCTGCCTGAAACTCACCTTTCTCTATCTTTTTTAAAAAAACTTGTCTGGGGGGGGCACCTGGGTGGCTCAGTTGGTTGAGTGTCCAACTCTTGGTTTCAGCTCAGGTCATGATCTCAGGGTGGTGCCATCGAGCCCTACATTGGGCTCTGTGCTCAGCAGAGCTGAGTCTGCTTCTCTACCTCTGCCCTGCCATCCCCCGCTCGCATGCACTCTTTCTCTCTCAAATAAATAAATAAATCTTTTTTAAAAAAATCCTGTCTGGAATATCTGCCTTTATCTAACCTTTGTTAAGGACGGTTCTATCCTTTAGGGGTATCCAACTGGTTTCCTCTCCTTCCCCTGAACTTATGCTGCTTGGTCTCCTCTCGGATATTTTCCTGGAATGCCCCTCTGCCGTCCTCCTAACCTCTGCACATTTGCACAGTTCACTTGTTCAGGAAGCGTTCTCTGAGCAGCTTAGTCCACAGGGCAGCTCTCCTATGTCTGAACTCTAAAACCCCTCATGTCAGTTATACTTGGGGCCCTGTGTTACATTATATACCATCCCTATGAGGTTGTGATTTATATGTTTACCTGTCTCATTACCCCTGACCCCACCCAGACTGTAACCTCTTTAAAGGCAAAGAATCGGGGATGCCTGGGTGGCTCAGTTGGTTAAGCGTCTGTCTTCGGCTCAGGTCATGATCTCAAGGTTCTGGGATTGAGTCCCGCATGGAGCTCCTTGCTCAGCGGGGAGCCAGCTTCTCCCTCTGTCTGCCACTCCCCCTGCTTATACTCTCTCTCTGACAAATAAATAAATAAAATCTTTAAAAAAAAAAAGGCAAAGAATCTCATTTTTATATTCCTCCCATCCCCCAACTGCCTCCACCCATGACTGAGAGCAGTTACTGAGCACCTACAGTATGTGAGTTGCTATTCTGGTGCTTTATGTATGTTATTTCACTTGATCCTCACAATTTTCTCACAAATGAGAAAACTGAGGGTCGGAGAACATGAATAAAAGGCCAAGGCCACCCAACTAAAAAGTGGCAGAGCCATGAAGGGATTCCAAAGCCTTGTGGCCTCTAAGCCCAGCTGGCACCTCAAGTGGGGCAGGCGTGCCGGAACCACTCGTCAATGACCAAGCCTTTCCCAGGGCCAGGCGGAGAGCCAAGGTACACCACACCAGGCAGCAGAGCCAGCTTGACACCGCCCTCCTCTGAAGCCCACATCTGGGTCTCCCTGGCTTCCTGGCACTAACCCTTCATCCTGTGCCAATTTAGGCAGTTAGCCCTACTCTGTTCCACAGGTGGCTTATTTGGAAGCCCTGATTAAATGCATAACACGTCAGGAAGTAAGAAGTCAAGCTCCTCAGAAGCAGAGTTAGAGAAGTGGTTCTTGAGCCCCGGCTGGCTGGAAGGGCCACCCAGTTTCAGCTCTTGTGTTTTCCTTTCGGGGCCTGTCAGGCAACTTTGGGATTACAAGGACGAGACTTTTGCCAACAAGCCCTGTCTGAAAGAGAGATCAGTAGAAGCCCTGACACCATGGAAGCCCCAGGGACTCCAGTCCCTCCTGCCTCACCCGGACCCAGGGCCACATCTGCCACCTGCCCACGTGGAAGGAAGCTTCTCCACTCTGGTGGTAACAGGTACCATTTACTGAGTGCCTACTATGGGCCAAGCACTATACCCGGTGCTTTAAGTGTTTATCTCAATGAATTCTTGTTAACATGCTGTGAATACAACATCTAGTACAGTAGTTAAGGACACAGGCTTCCGGGTCAAACTGCCCAAGTTCAGAATCCCAGCTCCACCACTTGTGTAACTGCACTAACTGACACCTGCTGCTTAACTTCTCTGTGCCTCAATTTCTTCATCTGAAAAACTACACTAGCAATGGCAACTACTTAATTCCTAGAAATGTATGAGGATTTAACCGAATTAATAAGTGTAAGGTGCTCAATGCATTTTACATTTTACTATTATAATAACTATTATGTAAGCATCATCTCCATTTGACAGGAGTATAGCAGTTTAAGTCACTTGCCAAGGTCATGCAGTTAACTAAGAACTAAACGTGGGGCGCCTGGGTGGCTCAGTCGGTTAAGCCACTGCCTTCAGCTCAGGTCATGATCCTGGAGTCCCAGGATCGAGTCCTGCATCGGACTCCCTGTTCGGCAGGGAGTCTGCTTCTCCCTCTGACCCTCCTCCCTCTCATGCTCTCTCTCTCTCATTCTCTCTCTCTCTCTCAAATAAATAAATAAAATCTTTAAAAAAAATAATAAAAAAATAAAGAACAAAACGTGAACTTAAATCCAGGTCTGGTCTACCTGACTCCAAAGGCACATGGACATCTCAGAAATCCCAGCACTTGAACCCTCTCTTGTAGGGAGCAGCCGGGCTGGTGAAAGAGCTACAGAAGGACCCAGGCTGGAACTAAGCTCCCAGGGTCAACCTGGAGAAGCAGAAATGTGCAGAGCCCAGAGCCGACCCCAGGAATGTAGAGTCTGGAAAGATGTCACTCACCCTACCCCCAGTAATTTTACACAAATGACCTCAGGCTGAAATGAATATCAAAGGCAGTATTGAAGAGGAAAAGAAGTCACAAAAGGACATCACGAAGCCTTAGCAAAATGGTTTTTCCACAGAGAGGGGAATACTACCCAAGTTCACTTGGTGCCTCGCAAGGGTAGAAAGGATATGAGCTTGGTATGAGAAGTTTTGGCACCTGTCTGAGCATTTTTTGTGCATTGTTCTCTCTTCCCCACCCTTAGCTACCACCAACCTCCTGGTCTGAATGGAGTGAAGTAATTGTAGTTCCCTAAAGATAATTCTATAGGGCCTCAAATTGCCCTCCCTTCTCACTGCTGATGTTCTTTTTGTTGTTGTTGTTCTTTTTTTAGATTTATTTATTTATTTGAGAGAGAGAAAGAAAGAGAGAAAGACTGGGAGGGGCAGAGGGAGAGGGAGAGAGAGAGAATCTCAAGCAGTCTCCATGCTGAATGTGGAGCCCAACATGGGGTTCAATCTCATGACCCTGAGATCATGACCTGAGCCAAAACCAAGAGTGGGAAGCTTAACTGACTAGGCCACCCAGGCGTCCCTCACTATTGATGTTCTTTAGAGTAGCTAACCAATCTTGCTTCCAGAGCCCCAAGGAACAGACACTCATTGTCCATCTCTGGGAATGCTTGAGGGCATGCTCTTGAGTCATGAAGAGCTGAGAGACAAGGTGGGGGA